CAACTATCACGAACACAAAGCTGACCTGAAATTTCGGTTTTTTTGCATGGCAGAAACAACATATATATTTAATACTCCTATTGTTATGAAAAATAAGCAGGTCAGCTTTGTGTACAAATTGTTATATATTACAATTCGCATAAAAGTGTGATCACGGTGTTAAATATATACGTGGTTCATCCCAAATAAGAGAGCACTTCCACATATAAGGACCCACTTGATATGTTATATATGGTGTGGCCGTGCCTTATTTGGCCGGATTTGACTCCTTATATGGGCCAACCGCGTCATATATGGCCGTATATAACCCCATACATGAACCGACTCCGCCAGACATACATCCATATATGCTTATATCTGGCCACATATGCTGCCATATATGCTTATTTGTGGCCACATATGCTGCCATATATGGCTATATGTGGCCACATATGCTACCATATATGCTTATATATGGCCAGATATAAATTATATATGGGCCATGTATGGCGTTTCCGTAAGGGTATCTATCTATCTATCTATCTATCTATCTATCTATCTATCTATCTATCTATCTGTCTATCTGTCTGTCTGTCTGTCTGTCTGTCTGTCTGTCTGTCTGTCTCTCTGTCTGTCTGTCACCTCCCTAACTTTATGATCAATGGATATGTGGTGTTTAACGTTCCAAAACCACCATATGATTATGAGAGACGCTGTAGTGGAGGGCTCCGGAAATTTCGACCACCTGGAGTTCTTTAACGTGCACCTAAATCTGAGCACACGGGCCTACAACCTTTCCGCCTCCATCAGAAATGCAGCCGCCGCAGACGGGATTCCATCCCATGACCTTCGGCTCAGCAGCCGAGTACTTTAGCCGCTAGACCACCGCGGCGTGGCCCTCGCTAACTTGGGCCAAGCAAAATTTAGTAAAAGTGTTTAAGAGGGTGTTTGAAGAATATGTCTGATCTGACTGGTTTTGACATCCACGACTTGAAAATCATGTCCCGTACGTCGTCAAACTTTTTCTGCAGGTATACGCTACAAGCAATGGGCAGTTTAAATTAGCCAAAAACGGCGTGAATAGACAATGATATTAATAAGGCTGCGGAATTGGGCTTGTTAGTACAACACGATTATAAGGGCAAATTAGCGCCGCCGAGAGATAAGACAGAACAGGCACAGAGAGCTGATGCTAGGAAAGCTCTCTGCGTTCTCTCTTCTGTTCCTTCGTCCTGGTTGAGCTGATTCGTAGTCATAGACGTAAGCAATTTAAATTCGAGAGTGACAAGAAAAAATCTGGCAACTTTCACGTTGTGAATGATGATGGAGAAGCATATTGGGAACTGATCGGCAGAACTCGTGGGTTCTCCGTACAGCTGCTGTCCTCTTGAAATTCCAGCGGTTGTACCAGTTCAGCTTACATCTACCTGCACAAACGATTCAAGAGCAGTATACCCACTGCACGCACAACCCATCGCCCATATTCGCTCCTTTTTAGTGGCAACCTGACGGCACTGGAATCGTCTGCCTGCATCTACCATACACCAATCCGACCCTGATCAATTCAAGGTTGCCCTCGAGTCATTTCTTTTCTGTAATTAATACCCATCCCTCATGTTATACCTCAGCTGGGGCCTTTGAGGTATTCAGGTTAACTAAATATATAAATGAATAAAGACGTCAAACGTTGTTATAGGTGTGATCGTTTATACACCTTTATACACAGTGCTTGATTATTTAAAAATCCGTGCAATCATATCCAAGCATTACATTTGTGGTTTTACAAAGCCGTCAGACGCGTTTTTCTTTTAAGATTATTATTTCGTGGTCGGTGAAGTATGTGGTGAGGGATCTTGAATTAAAATTTGGAGTTGAAAATTGGAGAAGGCAATGTCGATGCAGGTCCCGATTGGATATCCTCTTGCGGGTGCATGTATGCCACCTCCGCTTTGCGTGTTCTCACTTCACGGTCCGCCTGTCTACGAGCCTTCTTACCAACAGGAAGTGCACATAACGCTTTACAGGTGTGTAGTGGGCACCTCGCTTATCAGCAAAATGACGAATGGCATATTGGATGCTTCCCTGTTTCATGTAAGTTATGGAGGGTGCGTAGTGGGTACGCTGCACAGCTGCGCCTCTAGCGTACACGCAAAGGGACACGCCCCGAGCATTGGTCGTAAAACTGGCCTCATGAGCGCTGATCTGACGACTGCGAAGATTAAGCCTCGAGGTTTCAACAGGAATGGAAACCAAGCATTCCGCGTGGCAATAAGTATTCTACAATGAAGCCATGCTGGTCTCAAAACTGTTTTGAAAAAACACACTATTCAGGCGTAATATTGGTGAAACTTGAATTGTCGTTTCAGTGCAGGCCATTCAATTCTATTAACATTACATACGTACTCGTACGATACAGGCGTCACGTCGGGTTAATTTCAGTTGTATACATAAGCGGCTGAAGTTGCTTGTGCTTTGTAACGCATACGTGTGTAATAGTTTAAAAGAGAAAACGTGGAAATGGCGTTCAAGTTGGCGACAGCTGAACGATGCAGTAAGATGTGGGAAAGCAGGCGTACAAGATTAATTTCTCGAAAGCGCTATTTATTTCATGGCACGTTCTTGCTAAAGGAAGGATACTTGGGTTCAACTTTCAGTGTCCCTGTTAACTATAAAAATTCTAGATGGAGAGTGGGCGTTCTTGCCGAGGAAGTGAATATGCAAATGCCCTTTGCTCTCTTATCTCTTCAGAACAGTGGAAGCGGCATGGGCTATTAAAGGCCGGTAGTGACACCCAAGCTCAACTGAAGTTGGCCTACGTGGTATTATGCATGGCTACTCGCAAGCGTCTGTTCAGGCCTCAAAAATGTGACTAACATTGCATGACCAAAATGCCAAAATTGCCGCAAATCGTATTGCCGACCCATGAATCACTCTCAATGAACAAACGAGTTGCCGGTAAGGCCGATAGAGAATTTAGGGGTTGTTGCCCACAAGAAGGTGTCGAAGCTTGAGCCATAATAGAAAAAAAACTTATTCTACGTCTGAAAGATTCTACGGCAGCTTCTGTTCATTCTTCAAGAGCAACAGTTTGTGTTTGCTTCAAGCAGATAATAGTTGTCGCTTCGCAGTAATGGATTGCGGATGCGTACAATGTCAAGACAAGACATGCAGTCAAGAAGAACTTCATCTGGGTAAAAGCAAGCCAAAGAAGAGTGAGATGTAAGTCAGAGGCTTTGTGTATAGACTTGGAACATGCAAAACTTACGCGTTCTACTGCAGCTAGCAAGAACAACGCCCTTCATGTGTTCTTCACGGCCAAGGTGCGAAAGGTGGCTGTTCCTTTCAGGACGATTGGGAGTAAATGAAATATCTAGCAGACTGTGATTAGTCAGATTTTAATAAAGCAGCTAAACGTTCATGTCACGGAATACACGTATCGTACTGACAATTCCTCGTGCGTCCTTTACTTTTTTCAAACGAATCCTTCAGTAGGGTATTTGTTCTCGGTTGATGTTAAGGAGCGGTTTCATTTTGTCACGCCCAGTGCTTTGTTTTCCTTCGTTAGAGCTAGCATAAACGAGAGTGGTATTATTGCCTTCCAGAACGCCATGGGCATGAGAGTAGGAGCTTTTATCTCCTTTCTCATGTTTTATGTTTGAAGTCACCTGCATCAATTTTATTGTAAACTTGTATGTCCAAGAACAAGAAATTTACATGGGCTGTTGTGTTGCTCCCGTGTTCTGCCATTTCTTCTTATGTTCTATTGACCATGCCTTAAACCAACATTTAATTGGGAGTTTTTTCTTTTAGGTTTTAGGTACGTGACTATTTTTTTATTATATTGAGACAGCTAACCACTGCTCCATATCAGCCCGATGTTAACAATGTTTTAGCGGCCTTTTGCTGGCTCGGGAAGGGAATAGTGTTTCCGTGCGAGGGCTGGTGGCTCATTGCAGCTTTTTGAATGCGCAGATCAGTTTGCCCAGTCGTTAAGCCTGCTGGCTTCATTCACTAAGGTGTACCAAATATTTGCTTCCTGCGCATCCCAAAAGTGTGAAAGGGGACACAGCAAAACATTGCCTAGATTGTGCGCTTAAAGGGTTGTTGATTGATTGATTGATTTGTGGGGTTTAACGTCCCAAAACCACCATATGATTATGAGAGACGCCGTAGTGGAGGGCTCCGGAAATTTTGAACACCTGGGGTTCTTTAACGTGCACCCAAATCTGAGCACACGGGCCTCGACATTTCCGCCTCCATCGGAAATGCAGCCGCCGCAGCCGGGATTTGAACCCGCGACCTGCGGGTCAGCAGCCGAGTACCTTAGCCACTAGACCACCGCGGCGGGGCACTTAAAGGGTTGTGCTCACACGTTAGGCAGAGGATTTCAAACAAATTGAATCGGTTGTGAGAGGCTGTCTTCGCTCGCACGCTTCTTGACCCCGTGGCTGAGGCGCTCCTCCCGAACTTTAAGAGTGAACACCATGGTACCGGGGTAGAGAAAGAGTGGAGGATGTTGAGAACTGAGGTCGTACCATGTATGCACGGTGTTGCACACAACCCAAAGAAAGGTGGCAAACAGACATTGTGAGCCCATTCTTTTTACTGTGCCGCGAAAGCTGTCTCAGCTGCGCTTCTTTATAATGTCTGATGATAGCAACAAAGGTGGGGGGAGAAAGAACGTTGCCACATAATAAACTACCTTGAAGGAAACAAATATAACGTTTTAACGATGAAGCTTTTGTTAATTACTCACTTTAAAGGCCCACTAACCGAGAAATTATATTTCCGCCTCGACGCGATGTTCGTTCCCCAAAATGCAAGAGCCTGTTAGTCACTACATTTTGATAAGAAACTGGAATTTCCTGAAAACAAAAACACCGCGTATTCTCTCCCCTTTTGTATTTCTGCAATTTAACGTAAAACAATTGCGTGTTCACCTTGCTACAGCTTTGTGTACACTGTTAACTACAGTCTGTGGGTTGCGAGAACATCCTAATTTTGCCTCTTGTCCTGTGCAGCTGACCCAGAATTCTGGTTTGATCAGGGACATTCTGGGATTGAGCAACGACTGAGGCTACTCCAGAACACACGCCGTGCTCGCCAGGTGGTGTTCTTTCTCGGCGATGGCATGGGTGTTTCCACGCTTACCGCAGCTCGTATCTACAAGGGGCAACGACTGCAGCGCACAAGTGGTGAGGAGAGTGCACTGGCATGGGACACGTTTCCGCACGTGTCCCTGGCCAGAACGTACGGCCTCGACGTGCAGACGTCTGACTCGGCGAACACGGCAACTGCCTACCTTTCGGGTGTCAAAGCCAACTTCGAGACGTTAGGCGTGGACTCCAGGGTGAAGGTAACTGCCATGTCCTCATATTGTTGTATTCTTTAAAATTTCCAGATGCTGCACATTTACTGTAAGTCGCGTGTCCAAATGAGCGATATTGCTTATGTATGCTCATTTTCTCATTATACCAAAATTGAGGTGCCCACAGTTCAAAGAACACACAACTTCAGGGGGACGTGAAAGTTTGAAGTGATGAGGACTTGTTAAACTGCAATTGCTATTCGACGAAACAGCTTAGCAAAGACGAACCCTCTGATGAAGACAGCCTTCAGCGACGGCATCTGTTCGACGATTCCTGAGTATTCTACATGTAGTGACCACAGGGTCATTCTTTTGATTCGCGTGATTCTTTGTTAAGTTGTAATCCCACGTATGCATCGCAATGCGTCAGCGCATGAAGTGTAGACTCGCTGTCACACTCTTTCCTTTTGGAGGGAGAGGGCTGACGCCAAGTCTATTTAACCCGTGCTGACTCGTTGTAACGCGCACGTGCGGTTAAAGCTTAAGCGACAGAACGTGGAAGTGGCGCACAAGTTGGGGACAGAGAACGATAAAATAGTCACAAGACAAGAGAAAGCAGGCGTACGGGATTAATTTTTCTAAAGCATTATTTATTTGATGATTCATATTTGCCGCAAGAATATTTTTTGGTATAAGAATGCTGTATCTCTGCTGATTCTGAAAATTCAAGAAGTAGAGGGGGTGTTCCTTTTGAGGCATTGAACATGCAAAGGCAGTCTTCTGCTTGACATCTTCAGGAAGACAGCGGGAGGAGCAGGGGCTGGCAGAAAGTACAGTATTACAACCGAAGCTCAAGAGAAAAGAAAATGTAAGCAAGTGGAATGGCAGCGCTGTGGTGCAGACAAGGGTTTTGGTTAAAATCGTGACTTTGTTTTTGCTTTTTTGAAAACTTCCTGTGTGTGACTTACGGTTGTGTCCATCTGCAGCAGGGGTCACGAACAAGCGTCCGGCGGTCCGCATGCGACTTGCGCACCTATCGTTTGCGACATGTCGTCTGCGCATGACTGTTTTAGTCCAACATTGTTTATCTCTTTTTAGTATGTGCGTAATATACTGAGGTATTACTGGCCTAAAGCACTGGTTTTGGGGGCACCTCACGTAGTCATCATATGTTAAAACATGCACGTGAAACAACAACTATATATATATATTTCAGAATCAGCATCCAGGTCACCAGACACTAACGATATATGAAGGCACATTTAGCAAAGCTGCTCGTCAAATCTCCTACAAAAGCTACCGTATATAACATGTAGAAAAGGTTTCTTTTAGACGGTATTGTTAGCTTACATTTGTGCACACTACCACCATCGTGCCTTTTTAATCACATTCCTCGCTGTCCGCATTTTTACAGGAAGAAACTTTGCAACTATGGCTCAGGCAAGTTTGAAAGCCCTGGCCTATAGCGAGTAAACCTCCCACCTGCTTTTTATCACCATGGTTACACACTCAACTTGCATATCTGAACTGATGAACAGGTAACATTCATGTTTACAGATAGAGACAGAGCTCCTGCCGATGAGTGCCTTGGTTATACGATGTAGCGATGTAGCGACGTTGTTTTACCCACGCTATTGGCGTGTCTCCAATGTACAGCCGGCTCATGCTTCATTGAGCAGGTTGCCTTGTATGGTGAGAAATGGCGGCTTATTTAGCAGGAAAAATTCGTAGACCAACTTTTTCTAAATATTTTGTAGCCGTATGAAGCGCTCTCGGTAAAATTCTGGGAAGACGTGGTCCCTGATGGGAGGGACCACTGATTCACGGTGCGATGTCATCATAAATTGCTACGCTTATCGGGAACCCATATTATTGAGGTAATTGGCATGACAGTCCGGCAAACATGCTTTTCATGGGAAGCCGAGAGGAAACGCTGCCTTGAGGGACACCGCACCTAAGATGGCGCGATTCACTCACACCTCTAAAAATTACTTTCATGTTGTGCTGCGCCAGAAAGTTACGCACAAAAATTCCGCAGCCATCAGTGCAAAAACAATCGCCTCATGTGGAACCGACTCAAAGGCTTGTTGTGCGTCCAGAAATAGCATATGTGCAGAGTTCCCGTTTTCTCGAGCATTCTCAAGCGATGATAAACGATCTGGGATGCTATCGATGGTATAACGATGCCGACTAAAGCCGCTCGTAACATCAGAAGAAAGAAAAATTACCAGCTTGCTTGATTCTTTCACTCATCATCTGCATCAAATCCTGCATCGATAATCTTGCGCTGACAGTATCTTTTTTATATTTTAGCTAAGCATTTCAGTGCAGGCCATTCAATTCAATTACCATTACATACGTACTCGTACGATACAGGCGTCACGTCGGGTTAATGTCAGTTGTATACATAAGCGGCTGAAGTTGCTTGTGCTTTGTAACGCATACGTGTGTAATAGTTTAAAAGAGAAAACGTGGAAATGGCGTTCAAGTTGGCGACAGCTGAATGACGCAGTAAGATGTGGGAAAGCAGGCGTACAAGATTAATTTCTCGAAAGCGCTATTTATTTCATGGCACGTTCTTGCTAAAGGAAGGATACTTGGGTTCAACTTTCAGTGTCTCTGTTAACTATAAAAATTCTAGATGGAGAGTGGGCGTTCTTGCCGAGGAAGTGAATATGCAAATGCCCTTTGCTCTCTTATCTCTTCAGAACAGTGGAAGCGGCATGGGCTATTAAAGGCCGGTAGTGACACCCAAGCTCAACTGAAGTTGGCCTACGTGGTATTATGCATGGCTACTCGCAAGCGTCTGTTCAGGCCTCAAAAATGTGACTAACATTGCATGACCAAAATGCCGAAATTGCCGCAAATCGTTTTGTCGACCCATGAATCACTCTCAATTGACAAACGAGTTGCCGGTAAGGCCGATAGAGAATTTAGGGTTTGTTGCCCACAAGAAGGTGTCGAAGCTTGAGCCATAATAGAAAAAAAACTTATTCTACGTCTGAAAGATTCTACGGCAGCTTCTGTTCATTCTTCAAGAGCAACAGTTTGTGTTTGCTTCAAGCAGATAATAGTTGTCGCTTCGCAGTAATGGATTGCGGATGCGTACAATGTCAAGACAAGACATGCAGTCAAGAAGAACTTCATCTGGGTAAAAGCAAGCCAAAGAAGAGTGAGATGTAAGTCAGAGGCTTTGTGTATAGACTTGGAACATGCAAAACTTACGCGTTCTACTGCAGCTAGCAAGAACAACGCCCTTCATGTGTTCTTCACGGCCAAGGTGCGAAAGGTGGCTGTTCCTTTCAGGACGATTGGGAGTAAATGAAATATCTAGCAGACTGTGATTAGTCAGATTTTAATAAAGCAGCTAAACGTTCATGTCACGGAATACACGTATCGTACTGACAATTCCTCGTGCGTCCTTTACTTTTTTCAAACGAATACTTCAATAGGGTATTTGTTCTCGGTTGATGTTAAGGAGCGGTTTCATTTTGTCACGCCCAGTGCTTTGTTTTCCTTCGTTAGAGCTAGCATAAACGAGAGTGGTATTATTGCCTTCCAGAACGCAATGGGCATGAGAGTAGGAGCTTTTATCTCCTTTCTCATGTTTTATGTTTGAAGTCACCTGCATCAATTTTATTGTAAACTTGTATGTCCAAGAACAAGAAATTTACATGGGCTGTTGTGTTGCTCCCGTGTTCTGCCATTTCTTCTTATGTTCTATTGACCATGCCTTAAACCAACATTTAATTGGGAGTTTTTTCTTTTAGGTTTTAGGTACGTGACCATTTTTTTATTATATTGAGACAGCTAACCACTGCTCCATATCAGCCCGATGTTAACAATGTTTTAGCGGCCTTTTGCTGGCTCGGGAAGGGAATAGTGTTTCCGTGCGAGGGCTGGTGGCTCATTGCAGCTTTTTGAATGCGCAGATCAGTTTGCCCAGTCGTTAAGCCTGCTGGCTTCATTCACTAAGGTGTACCAAATATTTGCTTCCTGCGCATCCCAAAAGTGTGAAAGGGGACACAGCAAAACATTGCCTAGATTGTGCGCTTAAAGGGTTGTGCTCACACGTTAGGCAGAGGATTTCAAACAAATTGAATCGGTTGTGAGAGGCTGTCTTCGCTCGCACGCTTCTTGACCCCGTGGCTGAGGCGCTCCTCCCGAACTTTAAGAGTGAACACCATGGTACCGGGGTAGAGAAAGAGTGGAGGATGTTGAGAACTGAGGTCGTACCATGTATGCACGGTGTTGCACACAACCCAAAGAAAGGTGGCAAACAGACATTGTGAGCCCATTCTTTTTACTGTGCCGCGAAAGCTGTCTCAGCTGCGCTTCTTTATAATGTCTGATGATAGCAACAAAGGTGGGGGGAGAAAGAACGTTGCCACATAATAAACTACCTTGAAGGAAACAAATACAACATTGTTTCACATTTCACAAGATTTGCCATAAATTACTGCTCTTAAAACTAAGCTTGCTAAATATCAACAATAACCTTCCTAAATGGATGAAACATTTTCTTTCTAATCACTTCCAATTCGTTACTTCTAATGACCATCGTTCACCACTCACTGAAGTAGTGTCACGTGCACCCTAAGGTTCAGTGTTGGGACCTTTATTATTTCTTGCACATATTAATGTAACTTCTTCAATAACTGCTAACATACATCTGTTCGCAGATGAATGTGATATCTACCACAAAATTACCAATACTGATGATACTAAAACACTCCAAGCTGACCTATATATCATAGCTAACTGGTGCAATAACTGGTTAATGAAACTTAATATTAGGAAATGTAAAACATTTGCTCGTATCAAGAACTAACTCAAATCGTAACACTGAGACGTCCCTGCTACGCCACCGATCGCCAAAGAGAGGGAAGAACACTCAACCCTTTTTCTCGGTTCCCTCTTGGCTATGCGTCTCAACCACTTTCCTTACACAGGGATTCATGCTGGGGCCGGGAAATGGAAGACGCTACGACCTGTTCCTGTTTACTGATTCATTTATTTATCACTAACTGCAAACATCGTATACCCAC